TCCAGGTTTCATCGACTCTCGATGATTCCAATACATACGGCTGTCAACTCGTTGCCCCAGGAAAGAACAAAAAAGAAATAAAGACACGTTGGAAACGAGCTAGAAACAATGCATGGGCCTTCCCCGTAAACAGATGAGGATCTTCCAGCAAAATGGCGACTTGATACACAGGCGTCTAATCCCGGATGAGACGACGGATGTGACGGCGGTGGCGGAGGATGACGGAGGTGATGGTGGAAGCGGGAGACGACGCAGACACATCTCTCGGATTACGTCTTAACAAGCTCCACGACGTTCATTTGTCTTATCCGCTCTCGCTAATGCGACAGCAGCTGTTGAAATGATTAATTCACCGCTAGGATGCTCCTACGCCTTGTTCAGACGTGTACGCGATCGCGTTCGCGCGCTCACACCGACTTTTCATTACGGTACCAACTATAAATACCACCGAATGTGTAATTAAACAACGCCCACAGTGACGTTCATTTTACAACGAATGCGCCACGCGCTTCGTCCCGCAATCGACATCGTCGATTTTGGCAAACGTTCGAATTACATACTAAGATAGTAATGTGATTTCTAATTTAATCGATCCCGAAATTTACAGTCATTTTTCGTAGGTACCAAAAGAGGGATGAAGGTGATTTTATTGTAAAGTACAAAATAGAATCGTTTTATAAGGAAATTGTAGATTCTATAGAAAGTACAAGCGGAAAAAGGAAAGCACAAAGAACTGATGGAACTGAGGAATGTGAGAAATGCGTACATACGCATAAAAAATAATAAGGTACATATCTATTATTGCACATACATTCTAGGGACTAATGTTTTGTACTGTTCAGTCATACTTAATACATAATAATTTTTTAGGAAAATAATTATAATCCCAAGCGATGAAAAAAGTAAAATCGATGCGTAGAGGTCTAAACATACCCCATTATTTTTAGTCATGGCCTCTTGTGCAATCGCTACAAATGTCTGAGTTTCGAAAGTTAATCTGTAAATAATACGTAATCTAACGTTATCAATTAATATTTCATCCTTAATACCATCTAAGCCCGCTAAGATTTTAAGAGTAACATTTCAAGAGAGCTATTTCCCCACAACTGTGTAGCAAATAATGGCTACGAAACCTTACGACAGCTCTTTACACATTGTCAAAACAGTGTCCGTGAAGAGCGTGAGATCTGATTGGATTAACTTTCGATTTCCATTAACCACCTGTCATCGACGGGGACGAGGATCGGTAATTGTTACCGATCGATGACAAATCCGCTCCGGAATCGTTAGTATTCGCTGCGTAAGGGCGCTAACTGACTCGATTATGGGTACGGGACCCGAGAGAACAAAGGACCACCAGTGTTACAATTGAACTTCATCGCGCTGATATAAAGTTACAGATGCGAAGGGAGAAAATGAGAGGCGAATATTAAGTCGACGTACAAAATGGCCGTCGCGAAAAAATAGGGATGCGTTCGTTCGTTCCTCTCGCTTCTGTGCACCTCATGCTGGTTCACGGTGCTCCAGTGGTAACGTGACGCGCATGCGCGAACGAAGCGGATCGAAAGCCCCGCCCGGAGACTGCCTTTGTTTAATCCGTTGCACCTACGCCCACGACATGTGGCCAACAAACTACGAATTTGTCTCTCCGCGGGATCCTAATCTTCGTACATATGTATGTGTAATGGTGCTGTACGCTACAGATGCCAAGAAGTATGCTGCAAAGAGGAAATTCCGTGACGTAAAGATTGTATACCATTCCAGTAAGTATGAAATTATACTTTTGGTTTCTGAAACTTCGTCGAACGATCCACGACGACGCACCAAATATCTGAACGAAGAACCTTTATTTGTATGAAAGTTAAAACAGTCACTGGAAAGTAGCTAACAGCAGAATAGGTAGCGATACTCTAGAAAAAAATGCGTAAATGATGAATATTTTAGTCATTACTGTAATATAGGTTATACATGCCTACAATTTAAACATTTTAGTACATCAAAGTATGCATTTGAAATATTGTGTGTTCAGAATGACTTTATTATTATTTTGAGCTAATCTACATGCGCATTGAAAAAAAGTACAATCTTTTTAAGGGACAGATATATATATATATATATACATATTGAGTAAATGTGTACACACGTGGTAGCGTGGCCGAGCGGTCTAAGGCGCTGGTTTAAGGCACCAGTCTCTTCGGGGGCGTGGGTTCGAATCCCACCGCTGCCAAATTTTTTTTGTACTCATTTCTATGTATCTAAACATGATATGTATAACATAAACCGAAATGTTTTTAGTAAAAATTTTTAAAAAAGACCATACCTAGGTATGTATGTACATAATTTGCTAATGGAGTATGTACATACATATGTACACATGTCCTACAATGGCACATGTATGTGACAACAGAAATTTGAATTATCAACAGATGTGTTATACCATCGACTAGGTATAGAATAGACCTATCATCCACTGCTTTTTTCTGTCCCACGTTCATCGGGCTACGCAGCCCTGTTACCATTTTAGTGTCAATATCCGACGTTACCGATAAAGCATGAATTCTGAGTATTATTAGCACAAGTGAATTGTTATGTATTCCATTCATATTACGTGTATCTATGTAGGTTTTATTTGTATTATAATACAAAAATAAAAGTAATAATAATATTAATGTTGAGATAATATAAGGAAAAGAACAAAATGGTAACACTAAGCAAACCGTACAACAACCGTAACACACGTCTCTCGCATACCAATTCGTCTCCAAGCATACAACGTACTGCCTTTCTTCATGCGCAAAATCACTGCTGCTTTCGAACTCAGGTGCCCGTTGACCTTACATACACACTCACACATTCCGCTCCTCGACGGCTGTCGCGCGATGACAGTGTTTACATCTTTTGTCTTTACTCGGCATCGCGCGATTTCAAATTAACTGTTCCGCGAGCACATCCACAGACACTCATGCTCACACCCGTCGCACTCACGCTACATCTATATGATTTCACGAGAATAAAAATATCCGATGCTTCAGTTTAAGGTTAAGGGATAAATATGACAGTCATGAAACATGAAACGGAATAGTATATATTTTTTCACTTAACTACAAGACAATTGATTCTAAATGCATCGTTAATGGACATTTTTATTAATGTTACTTTTTTACATGTTCTTGTTTTATTCGTTTTTATATCTTGCCTTACATTTGTATATTTGTAACAGATAAATTCAGAATAGATGTAGTTTCATAAATAGTTTATCAAATCTACATGTGGGAGAATATATACACCGCTTTCATTAACATCTACATATTTATAATTTATATGGGAGTGTGAATAGTTTTACTGCCTATTGTAAGAATTTTAATACGCACGAACAATTACTTTCTGGCAATTGGTAAATTTTTACATATGAATTTACTTACACGTTATTTACTTCCAAAAATTTTATTTATTGCGAGTAATTAAATAGGATTATTTTAGAAATCGATATGAGATTCAAAGTGTAAAAATGTCTAGTACTTTCAATGTTTTAGAAAAGTATTCGAGTTAAAGATGTATGGAACTACTGAAAATTACTTTAGATTCCTTTTCCTTATTCTGTAAATTCTTTGATTGGAATATGAATGTTGCTGAAAGTATGAACATTTTCACAGGACAAAGATATAAATGGAACTTTAAAACTTTTTTAAGTGTTACAGTGATATTTCGTTATATGTTCCATAATGACAATAATATTGATTTCCTTGCAACATCCATAATTATTACAGATGTCAATATAACGAAATATCTTTTATGCGATGTTTGTGGTGTAATAAAAATCTGTGTTTCGATTACGTTTTTGATACGTATTACTCACTTATATGTAATAATATAGAATAAAAATATACTATTAGTCCGATATTTGAAAATATGCATGCGTTCGTTGTCACTGTTAAACTGTTGTAATAACAATGGAATAATAAAATAATTTACTCAAATGTACATAATAATACATATACATATCCATAAAAACAATATTAAACGCAATAACTTTTTTGTACGCGAAGAAAAACTAATATAGGTCCGTCGGGATTAGAACCCAAGACTCCTTTCTAATACGTCTACTTTATAGCGAACGGACGGAAGAGAATCCGTTCACGACCATGGTCCCTTCTTAGATTTAACGTAGTTCACAAATTCACCGTTTTCATAACGTAGAGGGCAGCAGAAAATCCCTGACTTTTTACACTATCGGTATTTCAGAACATGAGACACGAAGTCCCATAAGATGATAGGTCTATCCTATACCTAGTCGGTGGTTATACACCATCGCTAAACCGTTTACTGATTGTCGATAAGGCAGAAAACATTAAAATATGTATAGATGAATGATGATGATGTAGACTGAATATATTTTACCTTATTATTTATCAAGTACATACATATACATATATTATAAGTTGTATTACATACATGTCGCTATGATGTATATAAAACAACTTATGTCAAAAAGAATTAAAAAACATTAAAAGAAAGAAGCGCAATTGTTAAATGAAGAAGCGGCTATTATTTATTTTGCAAGTTACAATTTATCAAAACAACAATGCTGGAAAGGTTGTGTAACTATTCAGAAAGAAACTCATTTAATTAACAGATGAAAATATCATTTTATACTATGACTTTATACAACACCAGATTACACATATCTTGGTCTAATTTGTTTGAAGTGATGTATACAATACGTTCAAAGTACAGAACCGCGATTCGTCATAAATTCATCACTTTTTCTTGAAATTCTTATCCCACAAATCTCCTATAGGTGTCGTAAGACTTTCACGAAATAGAATTTCAAAGAACACAGCACCTGATTGCAGCCACAGCAGTGAAGTTCAGTCTGACGTACGTATAAATTCGATAAAAAGCTTCTTGGCTACTCACGATGACCTTTGCGATTGTGTATATTCAGACGAAAGCTTTAATCAGTTATACAGTGACAGTTTTAACGAAACCGTACAATTTACGATTTATATTTGGTTAACCTTCTAAACGATATTGATCCATAGCTCTTGATCAGGCAAGAAAAGCAATCGATCATTTTTCCATCTGTCGTGAAAGAATATACACGTGAACATCCAACAGCATACGTGCTTGCATATTATATACGTGTACAAATCTATCCAAATTAGTATGAACCAATTTGGCTTAATGTATAGATTGAGTTAATTCAATGTGAGGGGATATTTAAACGTAAAAAAAATAAAAGAATAATTTTTCATTCTTCTCTATAAACAACTATGATTGCATACGAAAAGATTGTTCAGATATCAACGTATGAAATACTTAAACTACATTTCCTCTCTTTCGTGTATGGCTTATATGTGATAGCGAAGCGGTTTCTTAAATGGGCCTGGGACCCCAAAAAATTCTTCATGATGCAACAGCGGGACAAACCTCCGCCTTGTCTAGTAGACAATAATTTGGGAACGCATTCTTATGTAAAAATAAAGGTAAGATAAAAATAATATTTTTATTAATTTTATGAAATGTATGAAACAATATTAAGAACAGTAAGAACAATCAACCCATGATAACTCTTTACGACGTAATCGTATGATACACACGTTCGATTTGAATCGGTAAAGGTGATTTTAATATTTTTTCTAATTGATGAAAATGCAAACAGCTGCATGGATTTCTTTTCTCGATCTCGATAATAACTGATTTGAAATTTACTTTTATCTATGTTGAATAAGGTTTCAATCAGAAATAAATTAACTAATAAAAAAAATTAATTATTGAATAAAAGATGGTAAACAAAAAATTGTAATTTAAAAAAAGGAAACATGTCTGATATCATAATATGAGCATTATTATAATTATAACTACTAACAATTTGACATTGAAAAACACTAATAATGTGTGTTCTGTACTTAGGGTGTAAAGTTTCATTATCTAGAGGCTGGAAGTAGAGACAAACCACTTATATTACTTTTGCATGGGTTCCCTGATTGCTGGTTTTCTTGGAGAGAACAAATACCATGCCTTGCTGATCATTATAGGTGTGATTTAAATATATAAATAATTATGTAGAATTATTAAAGTACTTACTTACAGAAATAATTATTTTATTCAGGGTAATAGCAATAGATTTGAAAGGATTTGGTGACAGTGATAAGCCATCAACCAAACGTTCATATAAAATTGAGATTTTAGTGGAAGAATTAAAACAATTTATTTTAACCTTCGGAGTGAAACAATGCAGTATAATTGGACATGATTTGGGTGGACTATTGGGATGGTATATGGTTGCCTTATATGAGGACATGATTTATAAATTCGTAACAATTTCATGTCCCCATCCGAATTTTTATTGGAACAGATTGCCTGGAAATTTTGTGTTTGATTCAAAGTATATACAAACTGTGGATAAACTTCTTAATATATTGTTTAATTGATTTTATAGATTTTCTTATTAATATTATTTTAGGTGGATACACTTTAGTAGATTGCCATTTCTTCCTGAAATTGATGCTCTTAAAGAAGATTTATCTATCATAAATGACACCTACCAACACCTTCAATTGGATCAGACAAGTAATACAAAAAATTACATGGAAGCATACAAGTATGCATTTAGTAGAAAGGGTAAATATATTTAGATTGTAAATTAGTCATTTCTTAAATACATTGAAGGTAACAAAGACTATTTTATACAGAGGATTGGACAGGTGCAATTAACTATTATCGGAATCTTCCATTCATAAGGCTTAGTACAGAATCTAATGAACTGATTTATACGAGAACTTTACTCATAATTGGAAACATGGATCCACTTGTTACAATAGAAAATATTGTACAAAGTTCTGAATATGTTGAAAAATTTAATGTGAAAGTAATCTCTGGAGCACAACATTTTCCACACCAACAAAAACCAGATGCTGTGAATAAAGCAATTTTAAAGTTTTTCATGGGTAAGTAATTTTTATGGTATACATCGATTACATGATTTTAGAGAAATGAGAAATAAGATGTGTTTTAGGTACAACTAATACCCTAGAAAAGACACCACCTAAAGGTATTATGACTTCTTGGTTAGGATCCTTAAGTAATACTGTTAAATATGGCAATCATATGTTTGATGCTGTTCATAAGAAGACTAGTGGTGTAGTTAATGTTTTACCTACTAAAGTACTTCACTCAGGTCAAACCACGAATTAAGTCATAATCGTATGGGCAGCTATTTTTATTCACATCTGAAACTACATTGCTAACCTCCAATAGCATAAAGACACAAAACAGGGGAACGTCTATTTATATCATAGAGGTTGATGTGCCATTATTTATTTTTTTATTATTGCACGTCTTAACAATAAGAAATTTTACATGTAGGATAATTTTTTATATGAACAATTCACATAATTGTTAGTATATTTTTATATCCTTGCATTATCTAATATTGTATATACATAATTTTTAGACTTAGTATTAAATTACAAACAGATCTGTCCTTCTATATTATGAAACAAATAGTAAATGTAACTTCTTATGGAGGATAACATAAAATGATCTCTTATAAATACTTATACTACGTTTAATAATACTGTAAATAGACAATAATTCAAAAGAATGTAATTGTAAATAGATTTATGCATTAATTATAAAAACTGGTTTCACAAGTTGTAACTTATAACATTATTATGTATAACTATATTGTTACTCTACGCTTAAGTATAACAAGCCTGAAATTTGAGATTTGATTTTTAAATACATTTAATTTTTTGTATTTGATAAACTTATTTTTACAACACTTTCACAAAACACGGGTAACGATTCAGTATTCGATAAAGAATATCAAAACAGTCTTCTTAAGCGTGTGTCACCAAAAAATATCCAGTCATAATCTGTTAGATGGAAGATTTAACTTAGTTCCTTTTCCTGTTGAAACCAAATATTACTTTGCTGTACTTTGTGTACTTTTTTTTCTAGAACACATATCAGTATTTATATTACATCATCTTAAGATACCCAATCATTTTGATGTCATTATATCATTGGTTATACTCACTTCCCATAATTTTCACCATCTTCAATAGTTTCAGGTAACTTGCAGTTCATTGTTTCTGGTAACAATAAGCATAATAAGGCACCAAGTAATGGTCCAATACCAAATACCACTGGTGGTAACCAAGGTTTAATTTTTCCCTAAAGACAAACAACATAAACCAACATGACATTAGCATACCCCATAAAAGAGATACAGCAGATAAATACGAAAAACATTACCATGGTTGCAATATAAGGTGCAATTATGCTTCCAGTTCTTGCACAAACACTTCCCAGTCCGATACCCACATTTCTAATTACAGTTGGAAATGCTTCGCTACTGTATAGGTATACAGTTGGAAAGCTAATAGCCATTCCCGCGAGACCCAAAGTAGCTAAGCATACCGTGAAAGTTGAATCGGATATTACAGTTAATAAGAGCAAGCTTAAGCCTGATAAAATATTGCCACTGATTAAGATCCTCAAACGTGAAACACGCGATATCAAGAAAAGAACTATTACAGTTCCAGGTAATTCAACGGCAGCTGAAAGAAGGATGTTGCATCTTAATGGTATATTTTTAAATTTCCAATTTTTTTTATACAAACACAAATAAATAACTTACCGGATATAGCAACATTTACAAAACTGTTACCTTCGATGTAACCCATGTACTGTGCCAATCCAAAGAAACAACTACCACAAACAAACCAATTAATACATATACAAATGGTTTTGAACCTTAGATTTGGAGTTCTAAACAGATGTGTAATATTGTATTTCTCTTCATTTTGTTTCTGCCTAATTCTTGCACTGCATTCGTATGTTTCAATTGCTTTTTTAACGTTTTCTATAGGTATTTTATTTCTGTCAGCTGCTTTAATTAAAATTTTTTCTGCTCTTGATAGTTTGCCAGTAGCAAGTAACCACCTTGGCGATTCAGGTATAATCCTATAATGAATGAAAGTGTACTGAAAATAATCTGATTTAGCAAGGACAGGTGACTAACAATGAAAAAGTGTTTCGAAAATGTAGATTCTGGTAGTATAATCGATATTACATACCAGTAATATGACAACAAAAAAATTGAAGGTATGGAGACTGCCATTTGAAACCCATCCCATGTCCGTGTTAAATATGAGATCAAAGGGTTCATTAAGTGACCTAACAAGAATGGTATATGAAAGAGCACCGACATAATTGAGCGCCATTCAACTCCTACAATCTCCATGACTGTAATTCATTTAGATATTTTTGTAAACTATATTAAAACTTATGGTAAGAATTTTTTACAATAAAAATTCATTACTTACGCAATACAAAGCTAACTAGCATTGTACCACCTGTAGCGACAGCAGAAATAAATTTAAATAGTACAAATAGTCCATACCAAGGAACAAATGCACTGATAAATCCAGTCAATGATTGCAATCCTATTGCAATCATCAATGGTTTTCTTCTGCCAATTCTGTAAAAATATACACACTTACGTGCCTATTATTCATTTTTTCGACGTATAATAATACATAACTTACCGATCAGCCATTATACTGAACACTAAATTACCAATGAGCACTCCAAACATTGTACAAGACTGTACAAAATTTGCTAATTGCTCTCTATCACAGACCAAGTCCCACTAAAAAGAATTTCACATATGTTTAGAGATATCATCACCCCCAAAGTTGCAGCAATATAAAGATATAATCATTAAACCCACTTGAGTTATAATGCTCTCTTTGAATGTGCGCTTGTCATACTTAAAGCTTGTGCACTTTTCCATAGTACCGTTTCCTACATCTACATAGCACTTCATTATTGTAGACTCATTAGTTGCTGATATTGGCGCTGCGCATGAAAAATTAGTTGGAGGTGCAAGAAATACAATTGATAGTTGATGCCAGGCAACTGGAAACTTTACAAGAGACAGAGCCACAGCTATCACAATGTGCCATGGACCCATAGCACCCATTGCATTCTGTATGACATCCACTGATGCGTGTTCTAGAAATATTTTTGTTTAATTAACATGGAATTAATATCAGGATTTCGAATTTATGTAATAACATAATAGATTATAAACTTAGATTAAAATTACTTTATTAAACATTAACGAATTAATCGTATTGTCGCGTGATACTGCAACTTTATATATTAAACAAAAAATTCGTTACTATAATTGTTCACTTGTAAATTATCATTACAGACCAATTAGAAATATTCCGTATTGGGGCATTCCACGTGAAATATTTTGGAGTAATATTTCCATTTTTGTTGACACTTGGATATGTTGTAGTCTTTAGTGATATATAAACGTATCTCGAAGGATTTTTGAAAATTTTGAAAATTGTCGATTCTACAACTGCTTGAAGTATAGTGTCAACCTTTTTTCAATAAATCATAACTCTTGAACTAACAAACCGATCAAAATGAGCTTTGCGGGTGATTATCGTGGAGACATAAGAGTACCTAATAAAAATTATTTCAGTTAAAAAAATATTTTTTAACGATTTATTTTGCAATTGTCTTCAAGAAATACAATGTTATAATAGCGGGGCACTATTTAAGAAGTTGAAAAAAGTTGAGGATATAGTCCTATTTGTCCTCTTTATGGACAAATTTTTAAAAATTGGGAAACTTCAAAATTGGCCATATGAAAATGATTTGAAGTTAACGCTCCGTCGAAGCACATGGGCTTGACCGGCCGGGCCGTACCGGCTAGCCTATATCTAGTACCGCACGGCTTGGGCGATAGAGTTTGTGTAATTCAATGCAGCAGCTTCAACTAACTTTAATATGGGTAATGTCCATATTTTTAAAAATTTGTCCATAAAGAGGACAAATAGGGCTATATTCCCATACTTTTCTTCAAATTTTTAAATAGTGCCCCGCTACTATAACATTGCGACTCTTTCAAATAACTACGAAATAAAAGGGTAAACAATTTTTTTTTTAACTAACATAATTTTTATTAGGTACACTTATGTTTCCACTAAAAGCAACCAAAAAGTCCAGAGTCTAGCTTATGCAGTCTCTGTGGCAACACCGGCAGTTTATCTTCTAAGTTGAATCCGTTTAAAAAAAATGTGTTCTATAATCTACTGACCTACAGACACGTGACATGCAAAATTGATAAACTTGACAGAAAATTGTAATTGAAACGTTTAAAATTATTTATATGATCTTTTTATTTTAGTAGTTTCGAGTATAAAATATTTACAGCTTTGAGAAGAAAATAAATGCGCGGTTTAATAAGTATGTAATTCTGCTTCTATGTAGTATTCTTTATACAAATTAAATTTATTAATGAAAACTATGCCATGTTATTATTTATAAAAAAAATCAAATGCTTGTAAAATAAAAAGTGTTGAGAATCGACCTAATTATTTTTTAAATTCCGTGCCAATATGTATAAAGTTTCAATTGCTTTCTCGCATGTATATATGGGTGATGCAATTAAAGACGCGCGGATACCACCGCAAAGTTAAATGTATATTTAGATTCGTTCGCATTTCGTATGTTAATACGAACAAATGTAGAACCATGCCAAGTATCTCGACTTACCTTTCATTGCCATTTCCAGCATTACGTTCGCACGTTTTGTTCGTTACTTAACTTCAAACTATGTCGTTATTATTGCCACACGATATACTGCGTGCCTGAGTACTCGGATCTCTCTGCAACTTTCACGTTAAAAGACTTAAGAGGACTAAGAGGAGTTCAAACGTTACTCTTAAACTGTTTTATCGATCTACCACGATATGTAGATCTCGGAGAGAAAAGTCTGTGAAAAATGTCTACTTTATCGATCCTTTCAACAACTAAATATTTATATTTTTTTCTAATTTGTTGTTAAATTATAATTATGAGTGAACACATCTGTTAAAAGATGGTATTGTTTATTTATATAAATGTAGTAAACAGCAACCATACGAGCGCAGAATAATAAATAATGCTAATTAGATAAATTAAAAATATAAAATTATTTTTGTAATTGTAAATTACTAATCATCCAAATGCAAACGTGCTCAGTATTTTATTCGCAACTCGTTTCGGTTTATTTTGTTCGTCTTCGGAACTTAGTTTTCTTTTCTTGGTGTCTGTAGATTCAGGAGGAACGTTACTTGTTGGAGTTGCACCAATTTCCTTGTATCTTGATAAAGCCGTTTTTGTCAGATCTGCAGGACTTAATTCAGGGAATTCTTCTTGCAAACTTTTTTTATTCTTGGCGTACCAACTAATAAATGTTTCTTTTTTTGCTCCAGCTTTTGCCTCTTTTGCTTTTGATTTTGATGGAGCGGGTGTTGATACTGATAACTTCTGTGGCTTTTCAGGAGTAATATCTAATCCAGCCAATCCTGCATGTTGAAACAGAAGTGATTTTAAGTATTACAATAAAAACCAAATATAATTCAATTACCTTTGGTTGCAAGCGAGTTTCCACTTTTTAAGAATGGATTGCTTCTTTTTAGCGATAAAGCTTCACTCATGGACAATGGCTTAATCTCTACTTCCGGTTTTTTCTGAACAGACAGTGAAATCGTGGGTTCTTCAATTTCATTATTTTGAACTTCATCGTCACTTTTCCCTTCGTCTATATCATTATCTTTATTTTCGGTTTCCTGTTCCTTTTTATTCTCTTCGTCCCTTTTGTCAGCAATAGACTCCAATTTATTCGACAAAGCCGTTCGATTTATTCTTCTGGCATACTTGACTGCCAATTCTATAACTTTTTCTGAAGCTATTTGTTCACACAATTCTACTGCTCGATATTCCAAGTTACTCCGGCACGCGAGCTAATTAAATAGATAAAATTAATTAGTACACAAGTATTTATCAGCATTTTACGTATAATGAAATGTAATTGTACCGCGAATAGAGCTAGAACCGCTTCGTTTACTTCTGAGGAATCGCCTCCCAGTTTCCATAATTTGAATTCTTTATCAGACTTTTCGCTTTCAGGTTCGCAAAGTGGCGGAATCAAAGACAATTCTGTTATCACAGGTCGTGGGGTTGTCGGTGGATAATAACTTCCTTTGCACAAAACACACCGAGCAATACTTTCTTGTTCATTGATTCCAATGATGAAATAATGATCAGCTTTGCCTTTAGTCTATTAAAAATTATTCTAGCTAAATATATGATATTGCAAATAGAAATTTTTATTACCTTCGATAAAGTTTCTCTTTAATTGTAATTTGCATGTTCGCATGTGCTGTAAATGCACAACAAAATTGGTAACGTAATGCGATATATATTCTTACCTGCCCATTCAAGTCGCTGGCAACTTTCCATAAAGATGATTTTTTGTTATATACTCTAATAACATCGTCAGCATCCATAACAGCAGGAGATCCAATATCGGTAAGTCCTAACCACATAAGTTCTGATGAAGGGGACAGTGGAAGAGATAATTTCTTACTATGTAAAGTTAAGCCACGAATTTGAATCCATAGTAAACTCATGTTTTGATCACCCAATGCACCTATTTACATATTTTCATTGTATTATAATATTGTTACGCTATAATGAACGGGAGTATGTATAATAAACAATATATAAAGAAAGAGCACCTATTCCGCTATGATAAGCAATTACTACCGTATTCCTAAGGCCATTCATTGCAACAACAGGACCGGGCAATGATATGATTTCACGTTGTGTGCCTCCTACTGTAAAAATTCTTAAATTCCTTTTAGATGTTGCAAGTGCAACAAAAGTATCACCAGCAGCAACACACTGCCCTTCTTCATCTTCTGGGAGATCTACAGACCATTCTTTGTTTCCAGAGCCCCAACCTATTGTTGAATTGTGATAGTTTTGAATTAATTATTTAAATAAATATTTCCATCTTAGTATTGTACTTTTTTATGTTTGGAATGTAATACAAACCTTGTAACACAATTACAACAAGTTTACTTCGTGTGTCACTATTTGATGGACAGTTCAGTGCAAGTGCATATGGTGACAAAGTTGCTACAGTATGTCTTAAATAATTGTTAATATGCATGCTACGGTGAATTGTTGCATCGTGAAATTCAATTTCAATGCTAGACTCATCCCCATCTTCAGAAGTAAAACATCTTACCATACCAGTATCGTTCCAAACCTATATAAATTTATGTATTGCATATGTAGTCCTATATTCTTCTGTAGCACGTTTATGTAAACGTCAATTAAAATTATATTTTAATTTTCATTACCATAAAACGAGATAATAAATGTACTGGAGATGAGCCAGGCTGAAATGGTGGTTGCAAATTAATTTCAGGTGCAAAGACATTTGTGTCGTGTTGTGACTTCACAGTTTCTTCCTCAGAACAACTCTTCTGATCTTCTTCAAGGTCCACTGACCTTTTAATTTTATCTAAAGATATAACATTTTCTCCATCATCGTCTTCCTCATCTGGTAAACAGATATCATTGTCTTCTACATGTCCATTTATTTCTACATTGTCTTCATTGCTTGATAGCTTCTCACAGAGTATCTAAAAATAAACGAAAAAGATGGGAATGATTCAAGTATTGAATGTTACGAATATGAATACATACTCACCACATCAATGCATCCTAATTGACCTAAATGATCACAAAATGCAATTTCATCTGGTGCATCAATATTCCAAGATAATGAAGTAATTTTAGCATTCTGTTGGTTTTCAATGTAACCAATCAAATCCTTTGTTTTTACATCCCAAACAATTATTTCCCCATTTATAGTGCTGGCAGCTAATAATGTACCACATTCAGAAAATTTACATATACTAATTTCCTATATTGTGGATAATAACATTAAGAGATGTTACAATGACTTTTTTAGAGCTGAAAATTTAAATGAATAACTTACAGTTTTGATATTGATACATTTCAGATGAAACAATTCCTTCCAAGAAGATCTCTCTACTACAACTACATCTTTCATATGTGGATATGCAAGACAACTTCCATCTTTACCTTGAAATGAAGGCACACAGTAAACTTTTGATGTAAAAAATGAGTTACATTTGGGTACAATATTATTCCAAATATTTGCAACACGTTTTTCTTTAATATTCCATACTCGTACTGATCCATCTGCACTTGATGATGCCTGAAAATCAAAATTATATTTTCTAAAGAACTATTGCAACTACTTAGTAAATATGCATTAAAAAAATAATTCAAGAAATATAAGTGCAATTTACCACAAATTCTTCCTTAGGATCCAATGATAAACCTAATATAGGAGCTTCATGACCCAAGAGCTCTGTATTATCTGATGTATTGATATCAGTAACTTGTATTCTCATATCGCTTTAACATACAGTTTACATAAGGTATTATATGAATTTTACGTTATCAACTAAATCTTACAAAAATAAAAAATGTAGATATTAGTTACCATGATCCTGATACTATAATATTACTGTTTTTTGTTGTTGCTAATGCAGATACAGGTGCTGAAAATCTAGTTACTATTCCTTCTTTCTCCAGATCAGGATAATTAAGTATTTGAACTGTGTTATTGTCATTACCAACAAATATTTTTCCATTCTAGAATAAAAATATATATGAAGATTAATTCACTAAATAAACGTCTCACAACTAATTTGTATATGCATAAATACCTGCAAAATCAGGTTGTATATATTTTACTTTTGTAGGTACCTTTGATATTACTGATATAGCTTGGTCTGCAACACAACTCGCAGCTGGATCATCATCCATTAAATTTAACCAAGATCGAACATCTCCATCAGATCCACAAGTAACAAGGCCTTTTCTAAAGTATGAGTGTAGCTTTATTATTTCTTAATTGTGTGTACAAGTTTTCATTTTTTATGTGATTTTTAGAAGACCTTATAATTTTTATCTTTTTTAAAAAAAAAACAGAAATTTCAATCAAAAAACTTAAAATAAATTCGAAAATTTATTATATAATAATAATAAGGTGAACAAAAAGCTATAATGATAATTAAAACAGATCTATTACCAACTAACGTTGATCTTTTAACAACAATGTTTCAATATTGTATTACTCACTTTTCACCGGTAAAGTAACAAACATCTGTATGTCCTTCCGGATGTGCATAACGCATAGGTTTTTTTATTAATGGCATTTTCTAATCAATTTACACAGCACAATCTTATACAAATAACGAACTTGAAGAATTCCTCATTACGGACTTGTACCCCTTCAGACACATATTTTGGCGCGCATTCTCGATTGATGCATGGATCAACACTTTTATGGCATTCTATGGATTGTGCCTAACATCCTTAACCATTAACAGAGAGGAAATAAGAATGTGCTGCACCAAGTAGTCAATTCCGGCATAATAGTAGGAATCTACCTATTTGTCTATGCTCCCTAGTCCCTAGTCCCCTGTCCCTACTAGAAATGGCGTGCAAAATCATTAACGGTGATTTATCACAGTGATCGCCGAATCACGATCACGGTCGTAATTCAACTTCATTCACGACCGTGATTGCGATTTTTTGATTGATCACGAGTGATTCACAAGTAGCAGTTCACGCCATCTCTAGTCCCTACTATAAGACCACGCAGCTATTACATATATGTCTATGCCCCCATCACGGGAGTTTCCGAATCTATGTATATGGTCGTGGTGGAAATGCTGTTCCAGGTTCCAGGACGGGGGATTTATAGTCGCGCCTCAAACATTTGCTTAAGCATTTCTTAACAAAGATTGCCTTATTCGAATAAGGTGAACTTAAGACTTCGTGTATTCAGAGTCAGAACTTAAGAAGTTCTTATTGAATAAGTAGATGTTTAAGAACTTCTTAGTCAACAATTGCTTAAGCATTTGCTTAAGAATAGGCAGCGACTATGAATACCGCCCCCAGACTTAATTTTTCGTTTGTAAGGAACCGAAAATAGATGTCAACTATCCACTTCAAATTATTAAAAGTAGTAGTCATTTAATAGATTAGATATAGGTTAATAATAAAGGTGTTACAAGTTGTGAATTTAAATGGGATATTAATTCTCACCACTATAATTCATTCTAAATAACTATAATTACAAATTAGTTACAAATAATACACAGCATAATATTCATTATGCGCACGGAGTAGGTGTTAAGTTTTTAGCGGAAGTGGACGAAATATCGAAATTTGCGCAATTCGCCATTAGTACATGATTATTCTACAATATATAAATATTCTGATGTTTAGAGAAATAGTAAACACCTTATATTAACGTTTTTAATCGTTAGTTTCACTTTCACTGCGTAAGTAAATAAATTCATACTATAATTGTACACTCGTTACAAGTTTCTGTTTACAAATATAAATTATTCTGTGGCACAGGACTCGTTTACGTTTTATCAGTACTGATATCTATATCCGTTATACGTGAAGAGTATGTAACCGTTTGTCTTATGAAGTCAGTCTTTGAAAATAACACAACTACAATCAATAAATCAGCGAAGTCCAATATTTTTTTTGCTAAACGTAAGAGAGTAACATCACATTAAAGTACGGAATTGTTTTGAGTATTCATAGGCAGAGAACCGTGACATCGTTGAGCTGGGGGTTGATAAATGGGCTGGGTGCTACGTTGCTGACTACGTTTTTTATTGTAACCAGCTCTGTTTGAAGGAACCATTCCACTTCCATTTCTTCGAAATTCCATGCCTGCTGCAAAACCCATTTTTTATAAATAAAATGTATCCCTATATATTTATAAATAGAGAATGCATTTAGTTTACAAAAATTGATTAATTTACCAGGAATATGATTTTGTGTCTGTTCATAACGAAGCTGTTTATTACTGCTCCATTGATCTAATTGTTTTTGATCCCCGCCCAAGTCTTGAACATGATGCTAATGTAATGAAATAGAAAACGATGATTAGTTACGGCCAATACCAAATGATTGACAAATCTCGTTATAGTTTACATACATCATCTGTTATAGGTAAACAGTCCACTTGAAGCACTTCTTCGAAATTTTCAAATCCTTTAAACTGAACGACACAAGTTCTATCCGATACCCCGGTCACTTTTGCGTTGTAATACTAAATTTTAGAAATATTTATTATGTTAAATAAACTATATTGCATATCACTACATATAGAATCTTCCTACATTTATCCATATAGAGTGAACCTTGAGAAGCTTAAATATTTTAACAAACCTGATGTACATAGTTTTTAGTAATTATGTTTATAGAGTTAGTAACTTTGATTCATGCATTTTTTTGTACTTTTTAATTAAGCATTATTCACGTGTCCCGATTCTCTTGATTCACCCTTTCTATTTCTATGTACAGTTGATACAAAAACTATTTGCACATTCGGTTCTCTTATACTGATTATACTACATAGATGAAGTGTATACAACAATAAAAAGTAAATCTGTAAAGTTATTTAACGAAAACATGTGTAAATAATTTTCGCATCCACAATAGATGATATCTTACCCTATTATCTTCCCAATATTTCGCTAAACAATTATCCCCTACTCGCCAAACCCAGGAACTGCCAGCAGAAACATTCGCATTTTGATTGTTACTGTAATGATTCTGACCTCTTTGGGTGTTGGGTCCTAATGTGCCCTTCCCACCAGAACTGTCATTTGGCTGATATCTGTTCAGTTGGTTTTTGTAATTTTTATCATTTGTATTTGCAGGATAAGCTCTATGTGTTCCATCTTCTTGTGCTCGATTATGCCTACCGTAAGAAGCATCATAAGTCTGTCTACTCTTGGCATCAGTCTCATGATGATTATAATTCCTGTGGCTACCAAAATTTTTTCCCTGTTGTTCTTGCGAACCTTTATAGTAATTGCTATTTTCGTTAACGTTTGTGCCGTCTATACGCGTTTGAAAACCCGAATTCCGGGATTCATTCAACTGAGACTTTTGGTATACTTTGGTTCCGGTATCCTGTTGATTATAATTATAATTATCTTGATTTCTTTGAAATCTTGGCGGTTTATTCAGTTGAGAATTGTTTCCTCCATTATACTGTGAATATTGCGGAGTGCTGGAGTTACTAAAGTTTGGTTTTTTATTAGTTCTATTTTCTTCTGAATGTCTTGGAGGAACTTGGTATCCGCGTCCTCCTCTCTGACCTCTACTAAAACCCAAGAAATGTTTAATTACGACTGCCGCAACAATGATAGTAACATACTATTCTGGAAGATATATACCTTCCACCTCTTGCGCTTTGTGTTTCATTACTTTTCGTTTCAACTCTATCATAACTATTTTCAGTATTCTGTGTATGATTATTTGGGGATGGATTGGTAGTCTCTGCAGCCTCAGACTGTAAAGGTAATTTATCCTCTAGAAAATCAAAGAGAAATATTCTTCCACTGGTTGGCTTACTTTCTTCTGATTTTTTATCAAATCTTTTATTTCGAGGTTCTCGTGTTTCTTTAAATGTACTAAAAAAAAATTATAATAATTTTATTGATCAAGGGATTATATATTGAGTTCCTTAAAATAAAAGGAAACATGCATACTTGTGTTTGTTATCTGTTGTTTTTTGCAGACTTTTCAATGCTCTATCAACATTATTTCGATTGGATTTCAAGGCACACTCTGCTTGATCTATAGAGAAGCCTTGGTCTACTATTCTCTGTACACTGTGATCTAAAAGCTATAAAATCAATGTATAACAGTAAGATTACTGTGAGATTGAATTTGATGTTTAACATTCTATTTTGGCATACCTGTTTGTTTCCACCACCAAAAACTTTTTTGCTACCTTGTTTAGCAGCCTCTGCTATAGCATCTTTACGCTGAGCCTCAAATTCTGCATTTTCTTTACTAGATTTTTCCTTCTCTGCCAAAGCTTTAAAGTTTTTGTCCGTTTCAGTAACTTTTATAATTTTTTTACCAAATGGTATCCATGGTGGAGGTCCACCTTCTTCTGCTGACTGTACTCTTGTGTGTGATGCCAATTTCTGTTATGAAATTGTATTAATATTACATATATTTAAAAACCAAACTTTTCATTTTTATATATGACAAAATCAAACAACACAACCTACTTTATTCAATTCCCATTTTTCCACTAGATTTATTACTTTTCCCCCAAGTAGTTGTATTATATGTGAAGGCCTTAGTAAGATAATTCCATGAGATACTGGTAAATTTCCTGAACTAAGTAATATTTTTGTTCCGGGTGGAGTATTTAGACTAAAACATGATTTGTCAAGTGACAAGACCTACTATTTATAAAAACTGTAAGCAAGCTGTTGTAATTTGGCTATTTACCTCAATGCTGAGATGTGTTCAATTTCTATAGCCTGATAATTATTTTTACCATCGGTTAAAAACAATTTCAATAAACGTGGAACTGCACGGGAGTCCTCACTATTTTTTGGAGAAGATACATTACGTACTTTTTGTATTTGCAACACAATATTACCTTCAGTAGCATCACCTTCACCGCTACCAATTTCTCTCAAATCAAGCTATAAAATAGTTAAGACAATGAAATACTGAAATGATTACTTCCTTTAAAAACAATATATGTATATATATAATGAATCATTCTTACATCCAATAATCTCTTTATGACTTTGTGGATGTCAACAATAATTCCACAATCGGTTGCGATCTTATAACCATGTTCTGTGATGTACCTAATTCAAATGTTTACATATATATTAATACATACAAATTTCTACAAAATGAGGGTCAGAAATACATATACAATGAGGTTGTTACAAAAAGCTCTAATGAAGAAATGAGCACATACAAATGATTTTGTAACTGAAATACATCTATGATACAGAGTACATGAATTAATTGATGAATAGCCTCATAATAATACTGCAGTGTACTAAATATTCCTGTAATTTGTATTCAATGAACTGTCAAATAGCAAAAATATAGTAACATTCAGTACATTTATATAAATTTTACATTATAAACTTCTATCTATTGTGTCGCTTGAATAGTTTCTTGATTCATTCTATAATCAGTGAAAACAGAACAGTGGATAGGAAGGTCATAGGACTAAAAATGTAATTATTAGCGAACACTTCATTTGTTAACACTGAATTAGAACACTTTCTGTGTTCAAATAACAATGGAAATGAAGCAAAGAAAACAGCTAACTGATCGTGAAACAGAATGTATAGACAGTTCATAAGATCATTTGTACTCCACATTTCTGTCAAATCTTTTGTCCCTGGCCTCGAAACACGAATACTGTTGTAGCTTCTGGTAGATATCGCGACCACATTTCATTGCATCCGTCAAGGGTAAACAAAATACATCATTTTTATACGCACCACCCTTTGTCCTGCAACTTCGTAATATTCACAGTCATTGCGTCCTCGCGCTAGATTGTTCAAGTAGCCAATCTCACTAATTCGCAAACTTTCCCAGGAGAAATTTCATGTGCGTTGCATGCGTGTACCCGACTTGTACATAAACATGTGTCAGCTGACGTGTAAACCAATGAGGAACAGGTCTCCAGGGAATCAACGATCACGAAGCGAGATCGAGCCCCTCGGCAAATATCTATTGTTGTTTACTAAACGTACTGGCACCGTTTGGTTTGTCCAAACAATGGAGAAAAAGAACCGCGCCTACAAGGCCTCGAATTCTCTGCCACCATCTTGGACGGTTAGTGCACTGTGATTTCAAGATCGATATATCGGTGGGCTGCGACAACACGCCAGTATCGATACATCGTCTGAGATTTAAAAATAGCTAGAGACTGGCTGTTATTCGAATGATTTGACTTCAAAGTTTATTCGAATCAAAATTGACTTCAAAAAAAGTTTATAACTAGACTTATGTATATTTGACCCAATAACGATAGGCAGCGTCATAGTACTTGCTATAAAACGCTCGTACAATTGTACTGCTACGTTTTAAATACGTATTAAATAAAAATTATTTCTATATCTTGTACTTCAGTATTTTCAGAACAGTAAACTATGCTTTAATTTAACACATTACAAATGACGCAACCGTCACTGATAATTTTCGTTCAGTATTTACAGTTGAATACACTCTAAGTGTAAATGAGTACAGCTCAGTAAAATCGCTCGAGACACGTCGGGGACACCTGTGTAAAAACGGTCATTTTATGACAACCTAATATTTAATATAAGAAACTTGAGTCGATACTTGTAATGCATATTTCTAACGTCTAATTGCGACTAATCAACGTTCCTGCCCATTTATAAGTAAGATACTAAATAAAGACACGTTTTTATAAGAAGTCATTAAATGAGTAATGATGATGCAAGGTATCGAAATTGAGTTTTGTAATTATGTCTAGATGCGGCACGTGATACATTACGTAATAATATAAAATAACAAAGTAATCATGTAGGTATAAACAGAGAGAAACCAGCGTTGCAGAGGATTTCCGAGCAAATCGCGCGAAAGAAGTCGACTAAACAAGTGGATTAATTGAAACCGAGGCGTCGCCGTTCGAAAATGATGTTCGAACGGTAACACACCGGGGAAATGGGTCACGCGGATCTCGTGTTTCTCGGCGTTAGCTTCTAAAATCAAGTTTCGGTGAACAGTAAGAGTGACGTTTCTCAATTCTCGAGATTCCACGGATTGCGGCCGGCGTTTCTACATCGAAACTTACATAAAGAAAATTATGAGCTGTCGGCGATTATCTACCCAAATCATCAGAACACGTGCAAACTGTCTCTTTGATGAGTTTCTACTATGTATTAAAGTAATAAAAACCTGTTACCTATTAATTGTGTTGGAAAGAAATCGATTTATCGAAGAAATTCGGAATTAGATTTTAATCCTTGTGTTTCCATTTTAATATATTGGGCGAGGTAAATGAACAGTGGCAACTGAATATTTTTAAAAATCTCGATGACATCAAATAACGTTATTGGACAAAGTTGTAGTCGGTTTAATTTACTTTCTGGTATTTGAAGGTATGAAAAAGATTTCATGGACATCAAAACTTTTTCTTCGCACAATGGAATGAAATTATTATTATTATTATTCAATATACGGAACAAAACTAATGGACCTATTCTATTCAAGGTGAGGTACTCGCACGGTTCGTGAAACAATTATGGCCGCCAAGTTCACAGAGGTCACTAAAGGCGGCGACCCCCATAACGATGACGAATAAGAAAGGCATTAACCGCTGATCGGTCCAATTTCAGCTGATGATTATTACACGGGTGGAGTCCCGTTTGAGCAAACGATGAAATTATAACAGATAGGAACTAACTTCGGAGATGACGGAAACGTATAGGCACGTTCAAGAACAAGACCGACCCGCCCATATCGTTGCAACGGTGGGTTCGTAAAAATTGCCTCGGGACGGTGATTACCATAAATTATTAATCAATACGTTATATTAAACATCTTTTCGTGGTCGTTTAACAAGAAAGTTCTGATGGTCAATCTTATCTGACGATCAGTCTTATAAATTACAGTAAATCCTCTATCAGTGTTCGAAGGCCCCTCGGCAGTGGCAAGAAGAGGTCCCCAGGTGTAACGCTGACTTTTTAACGAGGTTTAGGATAGCGATAGAGCTTGGAATTCTGAAGCCAATTATATTTATTTCAGCTGGATATGGTCATTAGTTTACGAAATATTTAATGTTCAGTGCTGAAGAGCCTTTCAACACTAATCGAGGATTTACTGTATTCTTGTAAAGTCTATGTCTTTGCCAATGTAAATAACAGGTGAGTCGAGTTTCTTTCATTACCTTCTATTCTCCACTCTTTAGCCATTGCTGAACGATATTGAAACTGTTTCGAGGGTGTTCAAATGCTAATTATACAAAGAATTAAACTCATCTTGTTAATGAAAGCTTCGTAACAAGGGACTTCGTAGCATTTTCACGTTGACGCACGGTCAGTTCGAATTCATCGCGACACCTTGGAAATGCAAAGATCTCGTTTTCTAAAAAAAGAAAGCGCGTGTGCTTCGCGTTTTCCACTGGTAAACGTCCTGTACACTTTGATTGTTGCATTACGGACGTGGGAGAAAATTATCTTCTGCCATTACTAGGTCAGCTCGAGGGGGAGGCCGGTGAAAACAAAAAAAATAATTAACGATGCCGAAGGCGTGTCGCGCGAGATATAAATAATACAGGACGACTTTTACGCGTTTCCGTGAAACGAGCCCTCCATTTATAACTTTGATACTCATCGTTTGAAATTACCTTTCCTACTCAGGTGTTTAAACGGTGCACCGACGATTGTCGGAATAACGTGAAATGAATTAGGACTGATCACGATATTTCCAGGGAAACAATCCATTCGCCGTCGATCGAATGCGTCGCCACACAGATATTAGTTATTCAAAGAGAAACGAACATAAATTGTTTGGCGGTAAAATACGAATGGTTGGCATGTTTTTTTCGGTATTTCGTATTAACATGCATACCTGGAGAGAAATGGTAATGTTATTTGCCGTTTTATGTTCTTTCCGTGTTTAAACTTCAATTTTCCAGTCGAGAAGTATGAATGATTGATTGAACTTGTGTACATATCAGGTTAACACGTAGGTGTATCCAGTTAAAAATGGGAATACCGATAATGTTAAAATATAGTTTACATTAAGACCGTGAATTTTTTTTTAAAGTTAGTTGAACCGTTGTGTGTCGCGGGTTAACCCTTGTATTTGCAGAAAAATTATAACATATATGTACATAAATATGTACATGAACGGACGACAAGAATTATTCGATCATCGTATACTTGCCTGAATTAGGTTTTGCGTTAGGTACTTCGCCTGGCGTAAGGTACAAAAAAGAAGTAGAAGTTGAATTAAAGATAGTCCTATTACAGAAGAAAAAGAAGTCGATCGATCGAGTTAATATAAATAGAATTCTCAAATGGAATAATTCTAATCGAACATAATCCAAGAAACGTAAGCTTAAATGACAAGATTCAGTAAATATATTATCTTAAATACTTCCTCCAAAAGTTATTTAAAACAAACTGAACGTGCTATCGATCTACGTTAACTTTTTCCGGTTCAAGTTAACAAAATACGTATGTATTATATGTAACGATACAGCTTCATAATATTCCTATTTTGATGATAAACCGTATAATTGACAGTTCTGTTTTCGAGTTCATTATTAAAATGATAATTGGAGAAGGGAAATAAATCATCAGGAAATAATTGCATCGTTCAGTTTTTCAGTAGTTTAAGTTTCAAACGTCGCAAAATATTTTAAAGTCCCCTTATGGGGTGGTGCCCCGTGTGCGCTTTTACCCTTACTACGCACAAGCATGCGTGTCACAGGAGCGCCTCGAGGCGTAGATTAGAACAGGGTCCGAAATCAATTGTCCCCTCAAGGCCACAGAATAATAACGCCTGCCATAATGCTTGCCGTTCGCTCAATTATTCCATAGTTGCCCCGTAGACTCTATTGTCCGCAAGACAAACGAAATTAACTGAAATATGACTTATTAAATAAAATTTAATGGAAATATAATTCACTGCAATATGAAATGCTAATTTCTAACTAGAAGGTGTGTCACCCATAGTTAAGTGATATGGATGTCGGAAGTGTTAGGTATGTCTATATACATACTTATGATTAAATAGTCACTCGGTTAGTAGGTTAAAGATTTGGAATTTCAAGACGAATCTTATTATATCTCAGTAGGTCGTTTCACTTTTTGTCTCCTAAAGAAAATTTCTCTTATTACATAAAAGACATAATTGCATAATTATATCTGTCTAGTTGTTCGGGATTATACGCGTAGCTCATAAAGAGTAATTGCACAGCTGGATTATGCTTAGGTACTGATTACTTTTCCTATACTTCAGAATACAGATTGGTCCGTTATTGGTTGTACAATTTATCTTGTTCATAAATATATAATCCGAAAGTCTGGAATAAAATTTTTTCATATATCTTTATCTCCAGAAAAACCGTCTTCAATAATGTACAGTATACCTGATATGCGTATACGGCGTACACTCGGGCTTACAGTAAGTAGAAATAGCAAGCAATGACCAGACACATTAATCAAATCCGTTCAATGGATGGCTTGTCGAACCGATATGATTCAGGACCGGTAAATATGATACCGAGCGACACCATTGTTTAGCGCACCCTTCCTAATATTTACTAAAAAAAAAAGCAAAATAAATTAAATGATTTTCTTATTGAGGCGCCCTTTCGAAGTGACGTCCCCGGCTATCATCCCCCAATTTGTCCGTATTTCCCGCCGGCGCTGTACGTATTCAAAGTTAACTTCTTCAAAAACGAGGCTCCACACGAAGAAACTTCAGTTTTAATTTCCCGATTCGTTTCTACAAGTAGAATCATCTCTGATACAGTTGCCCCACGAGTCCTGTTGTACCAGGTCTAAGACACATCTATTACGGAAAGTTTCCGAATTCCTGGCAATATTGCATGTGGGCATGTTCACACACACACGACGTCCGAAGGAGACGTCTCGTAACCCCACTTTCGGTAGCTTTCCGGATTCACGGCGGATTCATCGCGCGTCGAACCGCACACAATAGTTACACACCCGGCGTATAGGAGCCACACGGTTGTGTTTATATGCATACACACAGGTACGTGAGGGCGACGCGCGAGTAAACGGCTCTTGCGATGCCAAAGGGAGGGGAAGAGATTCGGTTAAAAAGGAGTAGGATAGAATGAGAGAGAGATTGCCAGCGTGAAGTGACACCGACGGTAGGAACGGAGAGGGGAACTGAAACGAGCGCGTTGAAGAGAGAAGGGGACATAATCGTGGAGAGACCGTGTGCGTCGTGAAGGAGCGAGGGAACCGGAGAGACACGGGAACGGAGAGAGAGAAACAGCTCCGTGGCGGTTTTACCATTTCAGTTTCACTCAGACCCCGGCCTGAAATCGCGCGTGTCCACGGCTCTCTCGATACCTCGAGCTGAAAACCTCGTGTGCTACGAATTAAACTCAACGAACGATTTTCCACAGGCTGTGTACTCGCGTGACCCCTCGTGGCCCCCGTTCGCGAACGAAACCCCCTTGGGTCGTTGCTTAACGACGGTTTTTCCCGCGTTGCGCGGCAGTGTCGAGCCGACAGTTTTCGAGTGTGCCTCGCGCGGAACGGTGTCACGTTTCGTCGGCGGTACGGGACGGTTTTCATCAACCGGCGAACAACGAAAGGGAGAAGCTGACACACGAAGAAACGAAGTGAGTAACTAGAAAACGTCGAACCATAAGCACGGTCTCGGAGTGTCTCTTTGAACGCGCGGTTTCGGAGTAAAGGTACGTTTTCACCGTGACAGTAAAAGTCATGGATTTTGTTGTCGTGACAGTATATGACAACGGAAAGCAATGTGTCAGGGGATCTTGTTTTTAGGACGCGAAAAGTTATACTGTTTAGTATCATGACCGTAAAAATCACGATTTACTGTCACGTGAAAATGTAGGTACCTATACCGCGAGACGGATCAACTGTTGATCCACCCACAAGACTACTCCAGTTCCGTTAACGGACCCCGTCAAATTGCAACTCGATCGTGATTCGAAGCGGTTCGCGCGATTTAACGGCGGCAATTAAACAGGGTCTGAGACTTACCAATTGTAATCTCACTGCCTCAGAGTTTTCTCCTCGCGTAAGAATGGACCGTTGGTCGTATTCAATCCGTGGAGGAAAGTTCAATTAGATTCGATCTATGGTGCATCGGATGCGATAACTGCGCGGATTAAGTGACGCCCACGAGCCGGTAGGCATGAAGTCACGGTGGTCAGTGATGTTGCAAGTCTAAGCAGCAGCCCGGGCCCCCGTTTCGCGTGTCGACATCGGTGGTAGTTTCGATTTCGAAAATCGATCGTTGAATAACGCGCGCTCTCGCAACCATACCGTGTGCAGCGTTTTACGGCGGACTTCCATTCCCATCGGCGGAGGATCGTAAAATGAAAAATACGGCGCAGCGGCGGGTGGATCGATCAGTTGGATTGTAAATCGTGGATCGTGACGGGCGAGGGATTTTCCAACGTCCATATTGTTGCGGAATAGGCAGCGTTGTTGCGGGTGTTTTTTTTTGTGCGCCGCTTAGGAACGCGTTGAAAACAAGCACGTATGGAATAGTAGACGCGGACATCATAACGCGGACGGAGTAAAACCCGATGACCTCGGTCGCCACCGCGTAACTTTCGATCGACTGAAAGGAACCCTCCCTTCGATTCTTTCCTTGATCGTTCTTATTTTTTACGTTCATTCTTCTGTCGCGATGCTGACTTTCTCTTTTTTCCCCTTTTCTTAGGAAACAGCTGTTATTCTCGTATAGAATTGTCAGGCGCGATCTTAAGCGTTTAAGTATTTATTTCCGCCGCTATTGCTGTTCGAGTGTTTATCCTGCAATTATGTAGCAATGTATGAGAATGTAGTCACATAAAATTGATTCAAAAGTTCGCGTAATTGAAAGAATTGTTAAATGTTAAATATATTTTTCTGGTGATATTGACTTGGATGTAATACGGGGGTTAATTTATTAATTAAAAATAGGGGAAAGGAAATTAAGTATTAAATTAACGAGGTATGCAGTTACTTTTTTGTCACCCTTCATTATGAATTTTCGAAGAGTAAGAGCATCAACAGGTTGGCAACGCTTTTTAATCAAATTCTGAACTTTCTTCAGACGTGGAGTCTCATAATGATGGTAAGAGTGGAAATTTATAATTAATTCAACAAAACAGAATTATCCAGTAAGCTATTTCTGACTTTTGAATATGGAATACGGACTTAAGAAGGTTCTAATTTAGACCTAATACGTATTTAATCCAGATGTGATCCAAATTTAACATATAATTCATATGGAACGAATTTAATCTTAACTCTCACAATCAAAGGCAGTGGGAGTAAAACATCTAGACTTAATTTACACATAACCCAGATTTAACTGGAAGTAACAAGACCCCGAGAGAGAAATATTAAAATCTCACTTAACCCGGAGCTAATCTAATCTAATCGTAATAACCGAATTCGGAGGTTGCAGTAACATAACCCTTCAAAAAAGTATCTCAAGCGTAAAGTTCACCTTATCTGAGCCTTACCCTTCTCAAAGAATGCCTAGAGAATGAGGGCATTATACTACCACAAACCGTAAATCGAAGATGTCCATTCAATTCTACTTTATCTTAACCCGTATTCAACTCTGCTTCAAAATGAAAAACGTCATTCTAATCCAACCTTGCACAACCTAACGCATACCTAATGAATTCAGAACATTATAATATTACAAATAAGAGCCACACGTGCCTAACTCTGCTCCAAAAAATGTCCAATGAATTCGGACCATTATTATACCATCAACTACGAACACGATACGTCGATTTACCAATTAACACTATCACAATATTATGATACCACAAAGTGAAAACAGGGACCGTCGATCTAGCCCAACCTTACGTAACATAACTGACACCAAACTCTCCCACAAAACTGCCTAGTGAATCATAGAGTATTATAATATATAAACTGTACACAGGAAACGTCGATCTAATCCAGCCTCATGCAAAATAACCATTCTCCACGAACACCTAATGAATTCAAAATATTATTAGACTGCCCCAGAAAATATGCAGCCATAGTCACGGTCACTCAGTCCTATGTTTTTCTACACAAACAGAATTTCTTGCTACGTTAACACAACACACACATCATCACGATGGAAAATTCCAACGATTGAAATTATGTTCACCGTACTCATGGGTTAACAAAACCATGGTATGGGAATACATAATATTGCATCAATATAACGTCCAAACAAGACTCCATTCATCTAACCCAGACCTAATACAACCGAACTTAGCTTAAGCAGTCCATGGAACTGAAACGATTATATCGCCGTGACCTTTCGAAAGCCAAGCCTAACCAGGTCCAGCGAATTCGCAGACTGTGACAACGCGAAACATCGTGACGACGTTTTTAACGATTTTCTCATCGTTGACTTAACCTTCGGGGGCTCGGCCTCGGTGCACGTTTCACCAGCGTTCCAGTGTCGATCCTTCGTTGTTGTTCCGTTTTTTCGACATAAATCATCGGGTACTTTTTAAGAGACTGCGGTATCTACAGCTTGGACGCAGTCTCTGGTGAAAACGATTCCCGGACCGATACGACTTCAACCGTGAAATTTTCGCGTGGCAGCCCTGGGCAGTTCTAAGTAGTCGATGATGCAGGTATACGCGATGATGTCAAGCCCGACCGGGATTTGTTTTCGTTCACCGATCTGAATCATACAGGCAAGATCGTTACTCACGGCCGCATTTCTGTCTTTTGCGTAATACCATGATTGAACATTAATTTCAAAGTGAAGTCAAACAATTAATACAAAACAGGATTTGTATATGTTCTAATTCTATTAACCCCTTAAGCGAGGAAAGAATTTTCGCACGACGATCTATGTACTTTTTGTATGAACAATCTGGCCAAAAATCTAATTTTTAAACTTGATTAAAAACAAAAAGAGTGTATCTTCCTTATAATAATTTTAAAATGAAATAACGTTACGGCTATTCTTGTGACGTTAAATTGTATACAGAAGTGTAAGCCCAGGCAGATGGACCCGATCTCTCCACTTAACCTTTGCAGTTCTACGTCGAGTTAGACTAGACATCCAATTCTACTGCAATTGCAATATACTTCAGCGATCTATGGTATATTTGCTTAAAATTTAACCAGTGTAGATAACATAAAATTAAACCAGTTCGTAAATACTATCTCAATACTTCTCAAATATCACAAATACGTATTCCATTCAAATATTAGAATGTATTTAAATTATATGATATTTATAAAACTATTTGGCTAATGTTGTAACATGAATCGGTGACCTTCATCACGATAAATGCACAAAGAGTACTGTACACTAGTCATATTCCATAATATTACGTAATATATAGTGTATACATATTATTATGTATCTCGTGTAGAGAAGATATGGCGTCCTTGCTACAAAAGTGACACAACTTGAAAAACATGTTTCTCCAGTTACCACTATCAGAAAGTTGCAGAGACACTGATCAACCAGTCATCAAAAGTATAATCTTTTTTCTTCATAAGTGGCTGGTAGACAGCAGTTATGTCAGTCTTACTGTTTAGAATGAGACTGTGATTTGTGACTGTCCAGTGCATTTTTTGGAAAAACAAGTGTTTTCGAGTTGTGTCACATGGCCTAGCGTGAACGTGCTTTTTTAATGTTTTCTACAACTTGTTTTATGTTTTTGTACAACTAACATATGGAATGTTGGAAATGAACTATGATACTTTTACTCTTTTTCACTGCATTTATTCGTCTGCTATTAGGACTAATACTCCAGTAGGATTACTCCCATTTCTCTTGCCTATTGGACTGTGCAGAAGCTTTCGTGGTTTTCCCATAGACTTGAATTTTCCAGAAGTGTCCTCTGGATAATTCCTTGGGAGAAAATCGTTCTTAGCAAGGTGGAGCTCGCTAGAGTTTATAACACGATCAAACAGTAGCGGCGAGACCCACTTCAACGTGTACTCACGAATAAATATGAATGGATTCACTACTGAAGATTCGTATCAATTAATTAAATTTTTTAAAGTGAATGATATTTTTCGTGTATTCGAAAGGTACATTAAATTTTCATTCTAACAGTTTTTTAAATATCAACTACAATTTCTAAGATATGCATAAAAATAGGAAACCACACACTAATATTTAAGGGCTGGTTTCGAATATCAACAAAAACGAACAACTGCCTGATTCTCCTATTGACAGCCCTTCTACAAACCTCCAATGTCTAAAAACAAATTAGAATTTTCACGTTACCCAAGTTCCCTCGTCAGTGAGAGTTCAAACACACACTACCACGAACAAACGCTTCTTCCATCGCGTCTGGTCCCCCGCCGTTACCGAACGGATCGGCGATAAATGGTTAATTCAAACATCTCGTAACAGGCAAAAGGAGCAAGTCGTTACACGCGCCCGACGACGGTAATAAGAGACCGAACGACGTTCCGGAAAATTGATCGATACGTGCTGAACGATACGCAATTACGACGTGACGAGAAATTACGTTGTTCTAATTAAGTTCCCTGGAGAAGAGGGGGGGGGGGGATGGTTGGCATTGCGACGCCAGGACAGGGAAGGAAGTACCGGCGGTGACGTCATGCGTACCAGGTCCGTTGGCCGCTCCATTATTTGTACGTTTTACATCGG